GTCCCTGTGCTTTGCTAAGCTTGTTCTAAGTAGGTGCTTCAGACCACTGAGCCATCTCACCAGCCCCAATTTTAATTTTTTAAAAGCTTTTTAGGCTCTTCTATTCAAGAAAGATTAGATAGCAACACTTGCTGGAGGCCAGAGTGTGTATCTAGCACTCGCAGGGCTGTGGTATCCCACGTATTCTTTTCCCTTTGTTAGCTCTGAGGCTCAAGGAAATGGCTGAAGTTTGGGCCTGAGGAAAGAAAGAGCTGTTTGAAAGTTCTGTCCTGCAGAGTAGAGTGGAAGTTAAGGTCTGGGTGGAGGTGTTGAATAGGACGTGTTTGTCAAGAGCTGTGGGGTCTAGGGTTTGACAGTTTGCTCAAGGTGATAACTTCCTGGGTGAGGCCTCAAGTGAGACACTGTCCTGGAAGCCCCATGGGGTGACACAGAGAGCCGGGAATGGGTCCATGGTTGCAGGCCACAGGGCTTCTTGCCCCACAGTAAGTCTGCTTCTGGGAAGAAGCAAGCCTGTCAGGGAAAGGGCTACGTCATTTTGCCATGGGGCCTGGAAGGGCTGGTCGAAGGTCCTCGGGCCCTCGCCCGCTTAGACACCCCTGATGAATGTGTGGAAAGTTGGGGGCCATGGGGGCCTAGCTCTCCTAAGCTCCTTCCTTCCTCTCTACATCTCTCCTCCTTGTTTTCTAGGACCTGGTGGCAGTGGTGGCAATTATGGAACACTTTTCAAGGGAATGTGAAACTTGGGACAAGTGTGTCCTCTTCATAGGGGCTTTTCTCCTTATCTCCTGCCTTGGAGACTCTGGCTGAATTTTTTAAGGGAGGAGGCAGTTTCTTTAAGGTCCTGTCTGACTGCTCTTGTCCTTTCACCCTGGAAGTTTCCTAGCGAGGCTGTCCATTGGCCCAGTGCTTTTCTAGGGTGACTAAGTCCTTGTGCCCCCAGAAATGCAGTTTCTGGGAGTGTGGGAGACACAGTACTATTGTAGCTGTGGGTCATTCTATTCTTTTAGTACATGCAGGACCCACAAACCACAGGGTGGTACTCACTGTACCTCAGGGCCAGACCTGTTCCCTTCATGTTTTATCGTTTGAAGTTCACTTCTAAATATGGGCATTGAGCTAGGCATGGTGAAGCACGCCTGTAATCCCAAGCACTGGGGTGGCTGAGGCAGGAGAATCAACACAAGTTTGAGGCCATTCTGGGCTATATAAGTGAGTTTAAGATCAGCCTGCACTACATGGGGAGACTATCTCAAAATAAAACAAAACAAAGAAAACAAACAAACAAACCCCAAAAGCAACCCTAAAGCAAAACCCACCAATGAATCCACCAAAGAAGCACAGAAATATATGGGTATAGATGTGAAATTGTTTTAAGGGTTCACTAGAAGATATAATTTCTTTTTACTTAAACAAATGACACCTGATTAAATTATGGTACTGGTGACTGTGCTTTATTTATTTATTTCTTTTTATTTTTTCCATAATTCTATGAGAAACAAATAGCAATGAGACAGTTTCAAATCCGATTAGTAGGACAGTTTCAATAATTAATACATTGCATATTGTTGTCTTAGTGGTTATTCGTAATACAAGACGCAGACATTATATCCTGTTTACAAACACTATTAGAACAAATCTTTCTTTTTTTTCCCCTTTTTTGCAGAACCGGGGATTGAACTCAGGCCCTTGCGCTTGCCAGGGAAGCACTTATTCCACTGAGCCATCTCCCCAGCCCCTTAAACAAATCTTTCTATTCATTAAATTAAGAGACTATAGCTGTATATCTGTCCTATTTTGAATATACAGATACAAAATGGTCGTTCATTTGTATCCCCTTTTTTTGTTTAGTTTTGTCATTTAAATATTATAGGTGCATGAATTCAGCAAAATATTCCAAAATAGTCCAGTAGTCCACAATAGTAGTGGGTTTTCCAAAATAATGGCAATGTCAGAAGTTGTTGACTTAAGCCTTTTACAGCTCAGTGTGTTAAGATGAAAAATATGGAATGCTTAACAAATTTATGTCATCCTTCGCACAAGGGCCATGCTAATCTTCTCTGTATCATTCCAATTTTAATATATGTGCTGCCAAAGCAAGCACAACTGTGCTTTATATTATGATAAGCACACAAAATATTCCAGGATGGGGCCGGAGAGATGGCTCAGTAGAATAAGTGCTTGCCTCGCAAACGCAAGGGTCTGAGTTCAATCCCTGGTTCTGCCTAAATAAATTAAATTAAATTTAAAAAAATATCCCAGGACAAGACCAAGTTCTTGTCATTGTATGAAGATGACTTCCATATGTTGCCCTCTGTTACAGGAAGAAGAGAATGGGCTCCCCGCTGCTTTTCCCTCCCCACGTTCAAGAGCAGCCAGGTTTTTACTCATATGCTTTCTACAGGCTGCACTCTGAAGATCAGAAAAGTTATGACTTAGAAAAAGGCAGATGTAGTAGCGCAAGCCTGTGATCCCAACTCCCAGGAGGCCGAGGCAGGAGGATTACTGCGAGTTTGAGGCCAGCCTGGGCTACAAAGTGAGCTCAAGGCCTGTCTGAACTGCATAGTAAGGCTCTGTGGAGAGCTGCGAAGGACCGCGCCTACAAGATGGCGCTGGTTTCCGCCTTCCCCCCCCCCCCCCCCCCCCCCCGTGGGTGAGCGCTCTCTGTGCACAACAACTCCTTATATGGCCAGGGCTGCTGTCATGATTTACTTCCGCATATGCTGGACCCATGGGTGATCCCCATGTGGCACACTGGGATTGGGCTCGGGAGTATATATTAGCCAAGGGCTGGGGGATTGGGAAAGAAGAAGCTTGCTGTAAGGGTCCTGAATAAACCGCTGAAGGAAGAGCTGTGTGTTGCGTCTTCCTGCTGGTCAAGAAGCGCGCGACAAGGCTCTATGTCAAAAACGACAAAATAGAATTAAAAGAGGAAGAAGAAGCACAAGCAAGCCTACCACTCTGAAGGGTGTGACCAGCCTCTTCTTCCAGTGTGCCAAGTAGACGGGGGCTCCCATTTGGGCAACAGTATCCATGTGGTGAGTTCACCCAGGGGTCCTTTCTTTCTATTAATCTGCAGGTCAGAGTTGATGGAGCCATTCATTTCTAGCTTCCTCTAAAGTCATACTGAGGGCTGGGGAGATAGCTCAGTAGAATAAGCACTTGCCTGACAAGCGCAGTGTCTTGAGTTCAATCTCCAGTAGAGGGGGGGGAGAGTCATACTGAATTGAGAGAGAGAAAGCAAAGAAAATGTTCTTTGTCAAATGTTTTCTTCTTGTTTCTTGTGTGGACAGCTATTTTATTTTTTAATTTTTTTGTATTTGGTACAGGGTCTATAGGGTATCACTATGTAGATCAGACTCATAGTGATTCTCCTGTTTTCAGCTTCCCAAGAGCTGGGGTTACAGGTGCATGCCACCATGCCCAGTCTCAGTCACCATTTCAGTGCAACCCAGGGGTGGGCCTGCATAGCACCCAGGGCATGGAACTCCCATCCCTGTGTCTGCCTAGGTAGAAGTTTTAGTCTACTGAGCTATCTGGCTGGGCTTAATTGGATCTTTTAAATCCTGTCTTTAAATCAGGATGTTTTTATTAGGGACAATAAAAATATCCATAGATCCTTGGAACTGCTTCTAGTGTAAGCATGGCAGCTGACAATTGGTGAAGTCAGTGTGTTTAGGGCCACAGTTGCTGGACTCCGCAGGGAAGTCCTCTGCTGGGCACTGCCACAACAGCTGATATCCGGAGACAAGGCTGAAATGACAGAATGTGGTAAAGCACTTCTCTTACCTGTTTCCTTGTAGGACCATGCCCCAGTGCCCTTGCATAGCCACTGAGCTAAATCTGGTAGTAAGTGGTAGATTGATTCTGTTTGGATTTAGTATAAACTCAGAATATTTGGGTAGAGGAGGTACCACAAATCTTTGTCCACCTGAGCCACAGTGGCAGCTGGAGTTATACTACTTATGTGTAGAAAAGTGAGCAGGGGTTTGAAGGAGATTTTAGGAGGAGAGGGCAGCCACAGGGAAGAAAGGAATTCATGATTGGTCAGTCTGGCAGTGGGCAGATCGGAGCTGTTTCAGCACATACTCCATGCACAGTGGAGCTGTGGTGCAGCGTCTACTGACCTTCCTTGTTCTCCAAGGGTCTGCTGTTGGCACACAGGCTGTGGGACTGAAGCGAAACAAGCAACAGTTCTAGGGTGCACTGATGAGTCAAGATGCTGCACAGCCAGAGGGGAGGTGCAGAATCTGAGGTTAAGATAGACTTTTGGAGCATGTGGGCTTCTACCCTCTACAAATTAGCTGTTAGCCTTTGTCAACTCACTTGATCTCTCTGCACTTATCACATGTAAAATGGAGAAAATGGTCTCATGGGGCTGAGGCCAGGGCACAGTAGCAATAGTCAGCATGGCATTGGTACATAGGACAGCCCTCTTTCTCCATCAGCCCTGCTCATTTCGGTTACCACCCTGTTTGACCTCTCTGCTGGCTTTTGTGCAGCTGTCTCTTCTATTTCTTTTCTTCTCCTTCTTCTTCTTTTTTTTTTTTTTTTTTTTGGTACTGGGAATTGAACTCAGGACCTCATGCTTGCCAGGCAAGTGCTGTGCCACTAAGCTAAATCTTGTCTACTCTTTTGGCATCAGTAACACCCGGTCTTTTCCGGTTCTTTCCAGGCTTCTCAGATTCCCTTGGTGTTTCCAGGGCCTGCCTTTAGCCTCTGTCTTTTCCACGGCAATGATCTTTCCTGTTTTTGCACTCTTTCTTGTCCAACTCTGGGTGGATGACTACTAATCTATAGTGCTGGTCCAAACCCCTGTTCTCTTGTGTCCAATGGCTAAGGTGTAGGAGTACTTGGCTGTCCCTAAGGCATTTCAAAGTTAACCCATATGAAATGGGAACAGACTTTCCCTCTCCAGTCTACTTGTCCCCTTGTGCTTTTATCAGGCATCAGCTTCTCACCCAAATGTGACTCTTAGGAGTGTACCTACACTGGCCCAGCGTCGTGTCAGCTGTAGTCTGGCCACATCTACCTTCTCAGTGTGGTTTTCAGTGGGTTCCTTCTCGGCCGACCTTCGTCACGTCTGGCTTGAGATTGCTTTTGACCTGTCTCGGCCTTCTGTGAGGTCTCTCTTGAGTCTTCACTAAGAATGCACAGACCCCCTCAGTCCCGATGGTTCACAAGTTATGAAATCCTTACTGACTTTTTCTACTTTGCAACTCTGGTAGCTGAGTCTCCCACCTCTGCAATCTTCCAGCAATTCTCTTAACCTGTTTCCTTGTAGGGCCATGCCCCAGTGCCCTTGCACAAGCCTTCCCTATTTAACAGATGAAAGGTTCTTTGGGAGGACAGTGTATAGAAGGCACTGCATTGTGATAAATCATTTACACAGGCGTTTCCCCCACAGGACACAGGTTCCCTCACGCCAGGGATCCTGTCTTATTCACTTCTGGTCATCGGAGTCTGCTATGGTGGGAGAGACACGGTAGGTGCCAAGGACACAGAAATAATAAATTGACAGAAATGCTTCTTTAGTGCACTCTCTTCCTCGGCCTCCACCACCTCATCCCTCCGGCTTGTGCGCTCCTCCCTCCCGCTCTGTAGGTGGCTGGCTGCCCGCAGGCTGGGCTAGGTGGCTGCCCGCGCGCCTGCGCCCTCTGCCGCTCGGCTCCGCTCGGGGCGCACTCTGGGCGCGTGTGTGTGGAGAGGCTCGGGTGGCAGGCGCGGGCTAGGGGAAGAGTTCAGTCTCATTCACTGCTTCCGGAGGCCGGAGTGGGCGGCCTCCACCGGCGGCTCCCAACTATTTCGCACCTGTACAGTCCCCGCCTCTCGCCGCTCAAGTCCGGCGGCCGCAGCCTCGCTAGTGAGTAGCTGGGCAGCGTGGCGAGCCGTCTCCACAGCCCTGCCTTCCAGCGGTGGCGCTCGCGTGAGTGTGCGTGGGTGTGTGCGTGTGGATGTGCGTATGTGAATGCGAGTGCGCGCGCGCGCGCGCGCGCGGTTGTCCCTGGCACCCTGGCGCGCTCGGGGAAGCTCTCCTCCGCGCTGCACGGTTACCCCAAGTCTGCGCTGCGCCAGGGCTGCCCGCCCGGGCGGGGGTTCCGACGCCGGGATTCCCCGGTAGGGCGCCGGGGAGAACCGCGGCGGGGAAGCCCGGGCTCGCTTGCGGCAGGCAGGCCGGGACCTGGGAACTGGCCCGGCCCAGCACTGGCGAGGGGATGCTCGCCCCTGGCCGCCTATCCTCGCCGCTTTCCTCACCGCAGCCTTCATTCTTTTCCGGGCAGCATCACAAAAGCGCGCCGCGGAATAAAGCCCAAGAGGCAAAGCACGGCTCGCTCCCACCTGGTGTACATAGCCCCGGACAAGGAGTGAAGTGGGGATCCCTGAGACTGGGGACCCGGGCTTACCGAAGGCCGCTGTGTTTGGCTCGTTAACTCCCAGCTGAGTGCTGGATCCCCCGAGCGGTTCCAACACGTACACGCTGGCGTGTGTGTGTGTGTGTGTGTGTGTGTGTGTGTGTGTGTGTCTGCGCACGCGCACTCTGGGGCCCACGTTCGTGGGGTGCGCTGGGTCCAGGGCTCACCGCCTCGCCGGCCAGAGAGCATAGAGCGGGGTCTCCTCGTGTCTTGCGCGGTGACTACGTGCCAGAGGCTCTTTGTTTGGTTGTAGCTTCCCTAGCTCATCAGCAAGGCAAATTGATTTTCAGTTTCACTTGCAACTTAGTGTGGGCCACAGCCTCGGATGCCCCCGGTATGTGTAACTGAATAGTTCTTTCGGGCAGAGGGCTATTTTTGTCTGGGAATAAAGCAGCAAGCACCGTGACCTTTTTGCTGCTGTCTTTGGCTTTCAGTAGGTGTCTGATGAGCAGATGCCCAGCTAGTCGCGCACACGTGCCAGCCAGCGCTCAAGGGTGCACACACATTTCTACACTGTAGTTTTTTTTTTTTTTTTTTATTGCGAATGTATTCTGTGTTTGTAAAAAAAAAACCAAAAACAAAAACAAAAAACTTTCCTTTGTTCTTTAGGGCATTTTCTATTTTGGGCAATGGAGTAGGAGGACGAAAAGGTTGCAATTAGTTCACTGGAAGAAAAGACACTGCCTCTGAGTCAGAGCTGCCAGGTTGATAATTATTAACATATAAAAGCAAATGCACTGTTTAAGGCAGAAGGGGCGGGGCGGGGGCAGGTCCGCGGCAGACAATGGGGAGCATCTACGCGACCGCCCGCTGCGTATTGTTCTGGGACCTGAGGCCGCATCCGGCTGCCGGTCCCACCTCCCGGGCTGTGTCCAACTCGAGATTGCTGGGGTCGCCTCGTGCGGGTCCCCACCGCCCCTCACTGACCCTGCTCTCTCTGCTTTGCAGGTTGGCAGCTTCACGCGGAGGGTGTCGCAAGCTCGGGCGGCCGGGCTCCGGCCCCAGGTGGCAGCTGGACGAGATGCCGTGCGGACCGCGGCACTAGGCGCCCCCACGCTAGGTGCCCCTGCGCTGGGTGCCCCCACGCTGGCCCCGGGGTCCCGGCCGAGAGGCGGTGGGGATGCGCCCCGGACTCCCAAAGCGTCTGTTGCGAGCAACCGGCGGGAGGCGGACGCCGAGCAGGGCTCCTCGCGGGACTCCGGGGGGCGTGCGGCTGCCGGGCAGTCCCGGGCGCCTCCCCACTGGTGAGGATGCGCGGCCGCGCGGCTCTGCCCAACCCAGCTCCGCTCCCAAGTGGGCGCGACTGAGGATTCGGCGTCGGTCCTGGTGCCGGTGGATGAAGCGTCGGAACACGGGTGTGGGATCAGAGGGCGAGTCTGAATGCTAGGAGCAATGGATGCACGCCCTGGGCCGCAGCCCGCCAGGGCAGAGCGTCGGGACGCGCGTGCAGCGGCCGGAGCTGGTCCTGAGGAGAGCGAGCTCCGGACCTCCAGGTCCAAGAGTTTCCCGGCCCTGAACAGCGCCTCCTGCGGGCCGGGTCTCAGCTCTGCGGGTGTGCACTGCGAGCCGGCCTTGGGCTGCGCGGATTCCGCTGGCCTCCCGGAGCTGACGCCAGGTCAGAGCTCGGTCGCCCCCAGCGCCTGTGCCCAGTCCCTGTCGGAGGGGACGGCGGGGCCCGTGGACGGCAGCCCTGGGCTGGACCTCACCCAAGCGCCGCTGGCCGCGCTCCCGGAGGGGAGGCGTCTCCACGTGGTCCTCGCCGATTCCCGCTGCTTCCTGGTCTGTATGTGCTTCCTGACCTTCATCCAGGCGCTGATGGTCTCTGGGTACCTGAGCAGCGTCATCACCACCATTGAGAGGCGATACAGTCTGAAGAGCTCCGAGTCTGGGCTGCTGGTCAGCTGCTTTGACATTGGGAACCTGGCCGTGGTGGTGTTCGTCAGCTACTTCGGCGGGCGCGGCCGGCGGCCTCTGTGGCTGGCCACCGGCGGGCTTCTCATCGCCGTGGGCGCTGTGCTCTTCGCCCTGCCTCATTTTATCTCCCCACCCTACCAGATCCAGGAGGTGACTGCCTCGGCTGCCAACGACGGCCTGTGTCAGAGTGGCAACGTCACGACCCCTTCGGAGCCTCCTCCCTGTCCTAAGGACTCAGGAGGGAACAGTCACTGGGTATATGTGGCTTTATTCATTTGTGCGCAGATTCTTATTGGAATGGGCTCCACACCTATTTACACCCTGGGACCAACCTACTTAGACGATAATGTTAAGAAAGAGAATGCATCCTTGTACCTAGGTAAGAATTTCCTCTTCTCTCAGTCACGTTTGGCTCATAATGAAACTTTCCTTCCAAAAATCAGAAGGGGGCCCGGGAAGTACCTCAAGGGCACAAGTGCCTGCCTGGCAAGTGCAAGGTCATGAGTTCAAGTTCTGGTTTAAAAAAAAATTAGAAAGGAAGTTATTATTTTATATTTTATTTTTTTAAATTTTATT